AAAAAAACAAAATAGTATTTAAATAAAAAATAAATTACATATTTACAAATATTTTTTAAGATAAGGCTAACAAAAAAGATTTCTCTTTAAAGAAAATGTTTGAGCTTTAAGATGGGTTTCTAAGATTAAACTTCATAAATAGGCTAACTTGTTTGACCAAAGTTTAATTATTATAATTTCTAATGTGGCTACTAGCTAACATATGATTTAGGGGTTAATAAGTTGATATATAAAGAAGACTTTGACATTTCAAGTCAATCTTTATGATTAAACCGCCACAAGATCAAAATAATAATAATAATTAATTAATTATAATGGCTACAATTTAGTGGTTTCTATTGGTTAATTGAAAACCCAAAGTAAAATAATTAAGTAATCAATTCATTGATTAATCATACTTAATTTTCACCACTAGACATTATCCAGCCAATAAATTTAAGGATATTTGAATAAAATATTGAATAATATTTTTTTGATGTGAGGACTCTTAAGTTTAAGATATGAGCTACTTGTAATAGATTATGTTTGAATGTTTTGGGGGAAAAAAAGAAACAAACAACAAAAATTATTTTATTTGTACCATTTACCACTCAATTTACCTTCTAATTGTTTAATGTTTGAAACCTACTATATGGAAAAAAAAATGTTGAAATAGTTCGATTCATATAATAGTTAAAATTATTTTCGCGTTAAAAGTCAATAAACTATGTGTAAATAAGGAAACTCAAAGAGTAATAGTGTGAACATCACGATGTGATTAGATACCTTTAGTTTAAGAATTATTTTTTTCAAAAGTAAAATGTACTTTTGATCTTAAGTTTGAAGATAGATTTCAATTTGGTCTGTACATTTCAAAATATGATAGTTTGATTCTTGATATTTAAAAGGTAATTTTAAAAGTAATTGACTTCATGTGAGTGACACTAATGGAATGCTGACGTTAGTGATTGTGGTATTTTATAAATTCTATATTATTTTTAATTATATAGAATTTTTTTATTCATTTTCCTCCCCCTCTTTCATTTCTTTCTCTCGTTTCAATTCGTATTTCTTTCCCTCGTTTCTCGAAATGTGGCCAAATTGTTGTAGGCCTTTGCTTTTCTTTCGGTTGTTGTTTAGGATTGGGGAGGCTGTCATAGAGAAATATAAAACTCTCCTCCTTATGGTAAACAAACGAGGGACACTAAATTGTCACTTTTTAAAATATGGGACTAAATTAAAATTTATCCTCAAACTCAGGGATCAAAAGTATATTTTACCCTTTTATATATAAAAGTGTATTTTACCCTCTTTTATATATATATATATATATATATATATATATATTCTTTAAACATAGATTAGAAAACAAAGCCTAGATCTTAATGATTTCTGTATTATTATTTGAATCTTAGATAAACTATTAAAAATTTATCCCTCCTTTCATTCCACTCTGGCATTAATCTTTAAAGATAAAAATTTTCTTAGTTTTTTTTTTTTTATAGGTAAAGGTGGGAGATTTGAATTCACGACTTCTTGCGGTTAAGAGACGAGTGTGTTAATTATCACTTAGATAAACTCATGTTTACCAGTGGAACAATAATCTTACAAGGATATTCATATTATTTTCCTAGATGCCCACTTTTAATCTTAATAAAAATAAGAAACTCTTATTAATTATTTGTTCAGATATCCTAGAATAAAAGTTTATGGAACCACTATTTTAATATTAGAATTATTATTACTTCTAATTCAAAAAGAAGGGGAGAGGGTTTCAACTTTACATTTTTAGAGAGTGTCTTGACCTAAATTAAGTCATGCTCATAACACCCGAAGGTACAACATCACGCTAATTTGAAAATGAGCTTTTAGTTTTATTTTTTAGGACAATTCTTTTTTGTCTTTCTTACTTTATTTGATTTTGCATTGTGTTCGATCGAAGAAAATGGAGAGCATCAACAATGTTCTCATACTCTGCTGAATCTTGTGGGAACAAGATTGAGAATGAGCGTAGTGTAGTAGGGGTGTTCATGGGTTGGGTTGGGTTGGGTCGGGTCGAGTTAGAGGGAATTTTGGGACCAACCCAAAAGTTCAAGTTGGCCACATATAGGAACCGTCGAGTTTGAATTGAATAGTCAACCCAATCCAATATCTTCGGGTTGGATTGGTTGGGTTATCAAGTTGTGTGTTTTTTCTTTAATTTTTAATTTTTCATTATCACGGCAGCGAGGGGGAGTTAAGATTAAAACTAAATAGACGTTTGAGATTAAGATACAAAATAGAATAAGAAAATGTGGAAATCTTAAATGAAAGACTATAATTAAAATTAAATGGATATATATATATATATAATTAAAAAATACACATATATGCATAAATTCGGGTCGGGTCGGGTTGACCCGATTTTTTAAAGGTTGAACTTGAGACCCAACTCAACCCGATCAAGTTAGAAAAATCACAACCCAATTAACCCGAGGCTTCATCTGACCGATGGTTTGGTTGCGTTCGTCGGATTGTTGGGTTTTTTGAACACCCCGTAGTGTAGAGTAGAAGTGAGTTAGAATATTTGCGCACTAAGATAATATTCATTGTTAAGAAACTCCTAAAATTTTAATATCTACTGTGAATTCACAACTTCAAAATTAGTCAACTTTATTAAGTGATAGAAACCTAAAGCTAAAATTTGACAGGATCAACCCAGCTCCATCCATTTAATACATTTGGACTGAACATAAATCAATCATCTTCAACTTGGGCTACCCCAAAGGGCCCGTAACTAGGTAAATACAATATCTATACATAATATTTATACAATTAGCTTTTTCTAAAAATTAAAATTTATACTTTATATATATTTCTAATTAATTTAAAAAAAAGGGAGTGTGAAAAATTTACATAAAAAATTAAAAAAAATAAAAGTGATAACTTTAATAACTTAATTTATAAAAGTATTAAAAACTACTAAAATTATATAAAAAAAATTAATTTAATTGAAAATAGTAACCTAAACTAATAACAAAATATTGCTAAAAAAAACTAAGAACGAGAAGAACACAAAAGAGAGAGAGAAAAAGGTAGAGAGACAACGATGTCTGATTTAACTTTGTAGGCTTGCCAAAATAGAAAATCAAGATTTTCATAAATAGAAGATGGTAACTCATGAGAGAATAATGGAGTTAATTAGAGGAATAAATAAGAATGATGTTTCTCAACTAGTTTTCGAAGTGTACTTAAGATTTTTTTCAGTGGCTCTTTCCATCGATGCTATGGTGCCATCGAGCTCACCTTCTAAAATACAAAAGATCGAGATCGAGAGTATATATATATTTTTGCGTGATGAGAACTTTTCATCGAGCTTGCTTTGGCTTTAAGAATTTCAATTTAGTTCTTGTAGGTTGGTAAAATCTCATAAATTGATCATTCCTTTATAAATCAGAGCACATAACACATATTATATTGCCATGAAACTGATTATACTAGGGTTTCATTGAAAGTTAAAAACATCAGAGAAAAATAGTAAATTGTTTAATTTATATAGATTAATTTTTAAAAACTAAATCAATTCATTAATGAATTTTAGTATTTGTCATAAATGAATATTAGTATGTTATGAAAGAATTATGTAATTGTTTAATTAATATAATTTCATTTTTAAAATAGAGGGTCAAATATTTGCCTTAAATGAATATTACTTTATTAAGGAAAAATTATTTAATTGATTAATTAATATAGATTCATTTTTTAAAAATATAATCATTTATTAATGAATGTCTAATATTTGCGTTGAATGAATATTATTTTACTAAGAAAATTATTTAATTGTTTAGTTAATATACATTTTTTTAAATATAATCATTAGTATCAATATTTGCCTAAACTCTATTATTTTATTATAAAAGAATACATTTTTAATAATAAGAGGATGTTCAATGAGGACAATTTAGTAGCCAAAAAAAAAAAAAAAACTGATATCTAAAAATTTAAATAATCATAAAATTAGACCTTTGTTTAAAAAAATGTGAAGAAATGACCATTCTTACCCTCTAAAAAAGGTCAAATGTATCATATATCGTGTATATGGCTACTTAATATTCTTTTTGGATTAATTTCTCATTTATTTTTATGATTGATGATCAATAAAAAGGGGAGACAGATTCCCTAAAATTATTTCTAAATCTCATTTTAAATTTGTTTTCAGTGGAAAAGGACTTTGCAATAAAATAGTGGAAAACGACCTTGGAAGAAAATACTGTAAAGTGCTGCTATACTGATAAAAGAGTGGTTGGTTGAGAATATTCAATCCTTTTCACACAAATTTATGCGTGGCACCAATCAGCAGCCATAAACCAACAAAATTTAATGGTTCTCTCCAATTCTTCCTTCCCATCAATCCAGGAAAAAAGAGCTCTTCACTTTCTATCATTTTTATCGACCTCACAATCTGACAAAGAAAAAGACATTTTCCATTTTGAATAATGTTAACCAAATCTAAACGCTCTAGGAATTGAAAGAGGTTAAAAGATACGTAAAAGTAATTGTAGCTTCTAACCTAAGATATAGATGCAGTGCCTAATTAAAAAAAAAAAAAGAAGAAGAAGAAAAAACAGTTAATCACATGCACTTAATAGTTTATAAGTCTCTCGTAATCTAGAACCGAACCCACGTTTACAAAGCAAACCAATCAAAAAGAAACAACTTCAACTGTTCTAAAGCGAGGTTGGGATTATGTAAGTAAAGTTTAACCCATAGTAGAAACTAAGATCCAAAGGTTTTAAGTTGAAGGAAACAATACTAAAACCAGGATAGGTAAAGGTCTAAAGAGCCCTCCAAAAGGCCAAAAGCCGAAAGCACCTTTCCCTCTGCTTCCACACGTTTTATTCCAACTTGTTGTTGTACCAGAAGACGCCTTTATTCTTCTCACCTTCGTCAGGCTCCACGTAAACGCACTCCTTCGCCTCCCTATACATGGCCTTGAAGATTGGGGTGCCATCGAAGTGGTAGTATTGCCCCAAGATTGGCTTTATCGCCTTCGTTGCTTCCATGGCGTGGTAATGGGGCATGGTGGACACCAAATGGTGGGCCACGTGAGTGTCGGTGATGTTGTGGAACACCTTGTTCAAGATGCCGTAGTCTCTGTCCACTGTTGCGAGCGCGCCTCTCAGCCAGTCCCACTCCGAGGAGTCGTAGTGGGGCAGCGCCGGGTGGGTGTGCTGCAAGTATGTGATTAGGACCAGGAACCCGTTCACCACCAGGAGCGGCACTCCATACACACACACCACCCACGCCAGGCCCTTGGCCACCACGAGGCGGTAGAGCCCGTACGAGACGGCCAGCAACCCGGCGTCCGAGATGAATATCTGCAGGCGCTCTCGGTCGGAGTAGATGGGACCGTATGGGTCGTAGTGGCAGGCGAAACGGTTGTAGGGTCGGCCGGAGACGTTGAAGGCCAAATAGAGAGGCCAGCCTAGGACGAGTTGGATGATGAGGGTGAAGACTCGGCCGGGTGGGTTGTTGAGGTATTTGGAGTACCATTTGATGGCGGATTTCTGTTTAGGGACAAAGACTTCATCTCGCTCGAGAGAACCGGTGTTGGAATGGTGTCTGCGGTGGCTGTACTTCCAAGAGAAGTAGGGGACCATGAGGAACGAGTGGAGGATAAGGCCAACGGTGTCATCGAGCCACTGGTAATCGCTGAAGGCGTGGTGGCCACACTCGTGGGCAATGACCCATAAGCCAGTAAGGATGCAGCCTTGGGCGGCCCAGTATAGAGCCCAGGCTGGGTATTGGAAGTGGCTAGGAAGAGTTTGGAAGTAAGTGGTTGCAACGTAATAGAAGATAGAAGCTATGGTAATGTCGTAAACGACATAAGAGAATGAACGGATAACAGAGCGTTGGAAGCAATGTGGGGGAATGGCTTTTTTGAGCTCACCAAGGGTGAATGGGGGCTTTGTGGATGGAACTCGCTTCAAGTGGTCAGAATCTGACTTCTTGAGGGATGGAGGAGAGGACATTCGGCCTCCAGCACCCATTTTTCAAGAATGTTGTCCTGAAAATAAGCAAGAGTTTGAGGAGACTGGAAAAATTGCATCATTAAACAGCCAGTCATAAGTACACAAAAGGCAAACAAACAATCATTCACAAAAACCCAAGGAAATAATTGACCTATTCAAATCTCTGAAACTATGAAAACAGTTTCTCCTTCTGTCAAATCTAGTAGACTACAGATGTTACAATAATTTACCTAAACTCTACAAATTAAACTTTCAGATATAATGGGTAATTAAACTCTAGACCTCAAGATACCTTCATTCATCAAATAAGAGTCAATACACCAGGCCCACATGTATGGATTGGAAAATTTGGGAACACGTGAATTCAATACCAACATAATAGTTCAACCACGCCTTTCAGGAAATTAGGAGTGGCAAAACAAAGAAAACCAACTTTCAAAGCTAGACATTCGCCGCCCACTTGAGGCGAAAAAAGGGAAATAAAAATACTAGTAGGCAAAGTCTACGCTGATTCTCTAACATAATTTAATGCGCAAGTGGAACCGTCCGGGTTATCAACTAGACAAGCTAAGTACATGAAAAAAGCCTAAAAGAGCGATCACATTGCTGTCACTTCTCACAGTGACGCAAGTTGATCCTACCTAACATTTAAAAAAGAGAGAAAAAAGAACTGCTCATTACACAGCTCAATTAAATCAATATAAGGTTTAAAGACCAATTCCAACTCTCTAATGCCGTAAGCTAATTTATATTGTCCATCTACAGTATCAATAGAATCCCTTAATACTGGAGTTTCAAAGCTAAACCTGAGACGTAACGTGTAAATTCCGTTCTCCTTTTGTGTTTATGTTTTCAGTTTCTTTAAGAACCAAAATGTCTTTAATAATTTCGACTTGTCTGGCTACCCTATTTTCTCCATATTTAAAACGAAAGCAAGAATGTCCCAAACTAAAATGAACAAAGAACACAAAGCTGCACAATTGACCAAGATCTTTTGTGATTTATTAGTTTTCAAGTAGATTTGAGGACTGATGGGGATTTTTTTAAAAATAAAATTTGATTAAAAATATGTTTGATTGTCCATTATTTGAAAAAAAAAAAAAAACTCCTAAAATTTGATAGCACACATGGCTTATTTATTATAACAATTTAATTTCACCTAATCAGAGTTAAAAACAATTTTAAAATTCATTCTGCAGAAAGACTATAAATTATCCTCTAATAATCGCCGGGTGCTCAACTCAAAACACTGAAGGAAAGAAGAAATTTCTTTTCATTTTTGAGCACATAATACCACACGTTGAATGATACGGAAGCTAAAACCGAAACGGCGCCTACCCTAATTGACTTGAGAACAGACAGGGAAAGCACCAAACGCACCTTTGCCAAAAGGAAAAAAGCATTAAAAGTTAGAGCCATAAATAACAAAATAAATAAATAAAATTCATCTATAAAAATTTGCCTTAAATAAAGGATTAGTATCACAAACAGACGACAAAAAATAATTTGGTAAAAAAAATTAGTTCAGTTATGATTTCAAAGATTTCCAACCGGGAAAGACATCCAGAATTTCTTCTCTTGGAAATGTTTTCGGAAGTTGAGTACGAGATATCGCCGATCAACAACAAATCGACGACTAAATCCGTACAAAGGGGAAAAATGCATACGAGTTAGCGATTTGCTCAGAAATCGACAAATCCTTGGTATCACAAATTTACAGACGCAATAGCGTGGCCATTGCAGAAAAGAGTCGAATCCAAGCATCCGGATCGAAACCACGCGATCTCAGCAACAACAAGCTACAACCTACAGACTAACTCTCTACCATTTCGACAATGCTCAAAAGCTCCGTTATAGCCTAAACTCTAAGCATTATACGAACTATAATCTCTGTAAAATCAAAATTATACAGAGGTAAAAAAACGTCGAAAGCAAAAGCCAAGAAACACCTCAGTGAACGGTAATCTAATCTCGACATAGATCTGTGCATCACCACGAACGTAAATGAAAAGCAACCAACAAGTCCCATCACATTGGCCTCAAAACAAAAACTAGAGAATCAAAGAGCAAACAAAAGAAGGAAAAGTACAGAATGTGATCGGAACAGTACCTGAAAGAGAAGAAGAGGACCGAAGTTTCAGAGAGCCTC